AAAAAAAATAAGGAAATTAACTTACACCTGAAAAAGTCATTGTATTTCTTTTTTCACTGGTTGCTGGTATTTCATGAAACCTCCTTCAATCAGAGGGACCTAATGATTCATTTTAATGTAAACAAACATGAAGACGCATGGGTGGATGTTATTGGTAACAGAAGTAGTTTGCTTTTCTATTTTAAAATGCATTTTTATACAACTTTTAACATTTTTATGTGCTTCCTCACTAGTTCGTAACACACATACACATAATAGAATTGTAGAGATGCAAGCATCACCCTTATTTTATAGATGAGGAAACACTAAACCAAGAGAAGTCAGGGAATTGCCAGATCCATGCAGATAATTAAGGACAGAATTAGGCAAAGAATCTAAGATTCTGGCTCTCAAATTGGGGGCTTATCTTTGTCAGCCTTGTTTTTGTATAACTCTGAAGACTGGTTTTACCTCTCTTTTTGTTCCCAAAAATCATTTTTCCCCACTTGCTGACCTAACGGGATACATGTGCCTCCTCCACACTCTTTCTTAGGGAACAGAGCCCTGCAAAGCAACTTTCACCTCCAGTGCTCTCAGGCAAGGCTTGCAGTGGGAGCTCAGACACTACTGTTTGCTTGTTAAGTCTGTTCCTCACGCAAGCCTGGAGAGCATCCTGTCAAAAATCCCAGCACTGAGTCACTGGACCTCCAGACCGAGCTGAGTGCCGGAAACAGTCACACTGCACAAGAATATCCGGGCTGGAGGGAACTGTCCTGGACTTGCGCTGGTTCTGTATGTGCTTCTAAAGGGTGACCGGGCTCAAGGTGCAGAAGGAAAAGCACTTAAACTGGTCCCTCTCTCTCCCCCTCCTTTCTTTCTTTTCCTGAGGGGAATTAAATTGCCATGATGATCAGAGGCTGATGAAGAAACCCAGAAAGCTGCAGCGGACTCCACACTCTCCCTATGACTTTCATTTCCTGCACCCTCTCCCATTTCCCAAGCCCGGTTCCTGTGATATTTCCTTCCCTGCAAGTGCCTCCTGCCCAGTACCGTGCAGCAGGCAAATTTGCTTGAGATTTTTCAACACTGAAACCAAAAGGGCGACACGGGGGAAACACAGCACCACAGAGGGCTGCTGCTGGCCGTGGCTTGGCTGCCCAGGCTGAGAAAATAGTGATGCTCTCTCAGAGGCACTGCGCTCTCTGCCCATGTGAGCTGGGGCTGCCAGGACCGGCATCCTGGGAAACTGTTCTGAAAATGAGCCCCTCAGTTTCCACAGGAATCTCCCAGCCGCTTCCCACCTTGAAGGCCGCTGCTGAGCACGACAGAGCAGCCCTCCCAGCCTGGCCCTCTGGCTGCCGAAGGATTGCTGGGAGCCTGTGGCGGAAGGCACAGTGGGCAGCGCTGGTGGAACACCTGCTTTCTCTCTTGCATGCCCCTCTCCAGTCTGGGGACGCTGTGGTGAGCGACTCCAGTTGGGCACCCTTCCCAGCATGTCGGTCTCCCCCCTCTTCCTGAATTGCACCACGCACCTTCACCCACGCTAAAACCCTGCCTGGAAACAGGACACTGTGGCCGGCCCTTCCCCCAGGAGCCAGAAGGGCCAGATCTGGCCCGGAGCCAGGCTGGAAGAAACAGCATAGGGCAGAGAGAGGCGGTGGGTGGGGCTGGAAGCCTTGTGCCGAACATTCAAAGCCTAATTTTGGATCAGAGTCATCCTTGTAGCCAAGCCTGAAAGATCACTGAGGCCTCAAAATGAACCACAGCTCGGAGGCGGGGCACGGGCCAGTCCTTAGCTCTCCTGCCCACACACTGTCCTCCTTAGGGAGGTTAAGCAAGGCTTGTTTGGATTTTCACTGGTATTATTTTAAAGCCACATCAATTGTCTTTTAGCCTCCTTGCTGGGGACAGTACACATTTCCCATCCCTGTCTCTGTACACGTTCACAAAATGCTTCAGCTGAGGTGCGATCAGAAGCCAGAGCCCCTTGTGCGACTGCCTAGGACACAGCATCCTGCCTGTGGTGGTGCCCACGCAGACAAAGGTCAGCTGGGCAACGGAAGCTGCAGGTGACAGAGCAGGCATCTTCCCACGGACACTTAGAACATGCAGGAGCCTCTGCAAGAGAGAGGGAAGGGTCGCCCTTCTTCTTACAAGGGTGTGGGCACTTCCTTGGGAGAATTTGCTGCTGCCAAGAGCGAGCTGCCTGCCGCCTCCCCGGAACTCCGGCATCAGGATGGCGGTTCACAGAGCCGTCCAGCCAGCAGCCCGGAGCAGCTGGTTGTAATTATGCACTGCCGCTTCCCCGGAAGTTGCTGGCTGTGGAGTGCGTGCTGGGCCTGGCAGCACATTGGCTGCTGGGCTTCAGGGAACAGGGGAGATAGAAGCTGATGGCAGCAGGGGAAGGGGAGGAGCAGGACGAGGGCGAAGACGGCAGAAAGGAAGGGTGAGAGCTGCTCCGCTCCCGCTCCCGGGGCTGAATCTGCAAGGACCCACACACATTCAAGATCCCTCCTGGTTTCCGACCCGACCCAGTCGAAGTCCGAGCCTTCCTGGGAACAGCCCCAGGACTCCTCTTGTTAAGCAGTACCTGCTACACTCGGTGTTTAGACAAGTGTGCCTGGTTGACGGATTGAATAGTGCTCCTTAGGCTGTTTAATCGAAACTGACCGCATCTTTGGTAGAGCCGGCCACAGGGAAAAACAGAAGAAGTCACGAGGAAAAAGGCAGCTCTCTTGGCCAGAAAGGCCGGTGGCGGCAGCGGCAGCAGCGAGTAATAGTTAAACATCTCAGTTCCTTGCTAAATGCTGGGCCCAGGTGCTCCATGAGGAGGGAAAGGAGAAAAGACAACTTTACAGAAGTGAAATGTGGGTTAATTAGCAAGTTTTCTTTTTCCTGGGTGGAGAAAAACTTATTCATGTCTGGCTTTTTATTCTTTCCAAGATTTCTTGTTCAAAGTCTCCTAATTAGAACCTGGCAGGAAATGAACTTGGAGGAGGAGGGTGGGACCCCGAGGGTGGGGGAGGGGGCTTCCCTACTGCCTGAGTTTGAGACCCCACCCTTCCCATCGGCGGGAACCTTCTTGGCACAACTCTGGACAGTACCTTCGCTTAGTCTTTCCTTCCTTCCCGCTTTCTCTCAGGAGGGCGCTTCTGACTTCCACACAGTTGGAATCCCCAAAGAAGTCGGCAAAATCTCCTGGTTTTTTGGCCAACCCAGGGAACAATTTGAAGGCCCCACATCAGACAAGTGGACAGGCCTGAGATTCCTGTGGCCTCTTGGTGACCCCTCTCTGCTTCTACAACTCCTGATTTATGTTGCTTTAAAAGGGCGGGTGTCCTACCTGTTATTGGACACTCTTGATGTATAAAACTGACAGCTGCGCACAATGACACATTATTGGCTCAGGCTGGTCAATGAGGAGGCAATTTCCTTTCTCCCTTGTCCATTGCCAAGTAAGCACAGGATTGCTAGAAATGCTATCAATCAGTTGGCACAAGTGCAGGGAAGTGCCAGCCTGTATGTGGGCATGGCAGCCTCACTCCCTAAAGATGAATGAAAATAAATGATGGCACTATTCTCTTTAGGACAGATCGAAGTCATCTCCTATTGCCTGGGTGAACAGATTCGGGGACAAGTCAAATGGATTTTTCCAGTAAGGTCCATGTAATTATTATTTCCTCCTCCTCCCTTTTCCTTTTCTTTTTTCCATCTAGGTCCTAGATTTTGTAAACACACACACAGTTAATTCCTAGGGCTGTGCCATTCAATACAGTAGCAATTCACTACAACTTATAGCAATTTAGGTGTGTTTTGTTTGTTTGTATTTTTTTGATTTGGGTTTTTTTTTTTCCAAGGTGGATGACTTAATGATGAGAATTCCAATTTGTTTATATCCTTGCTACTTGGACTTTTAAATATGAGTGATTCTACGAGGTCTGTGCGGTATTCCATTTAGTTTACTTTGCTTTCAATAAAAAAGCAATTTCAAGCATCTTTTCATGTGCTGGTTTATCATATCTTTATCTTTTCAAATCTCTGTCCCACTTTAAATTGTCAGTTTACTTTCTTATTATTACCTGTGAAAGTTCTTTATATATTTTGTATATAATCCTCTATTCTTCCTCCACCTCTTCCTCCTCCTCCTCCTCTCTTTTTCTTCTTCACTGGGGATTGAAGCTCTGGCCTCACACATACTAGACAAGTGTTCCACCTCTTTTTATTTTGAGACAAGATCACCACTAAGTTGCCTAGGTTGGGCTCAAATCTTTGATACTCTTATCTCAGCCTCTCAAGTATCTGGGATTATAGGCATGTGTAGCCACACCAGGCTTACTTGCAGCAATTTACATTAAAATTAAAAGAAATTAAAAATGCAGCTCTTCAGTCCTGCTAGCCACATGTCAATTGCTCAGTCGTCACATGTGGTTGGTAGCTACCACACTGAACAACACAGAATTATAGAATTTCCGTCACTAGACAGCCTGACCCAAAACATGTATTTCCTCTTGGTCTCAGGACTCCTGTTCCTTTTAGACTCCTCTACATATAATTTTTATAAAGGTGAAACTTTTTCTTTAATTGCAACTTCAATCAAAACTAATTAGCTTCCTCCTACCTCCTGAGGGAAAGCTCCCCAACTATTCCACTGGTAGAAGCTTCTAGATTAGCAAAACAGGGTGTGGCATAGTAGATCCTGAAAGACCATAAAGTCAACAGGACTAGTTTCAGGCTTTCTGACTGTAACTTTTTCCTTTGGATAATTTTCCTAGACAGTTCTTAATAACAGCTAGAAAGAGCCACTATGAGCCAAAGTGGTATATGCAGGAATATTCTAGTGAATCTCCATAAAAATTTGCACAACAAATGGAAAGTAATAGATCCTTTGGAAGGAGAGGGTATCCTGCACTACAAATCCCTGTAGTGAGGCTTTGAAGCCTGGCAAAGGCACAGAGCAATGAAGTACTTTCACGCAGCTGGGAGCGCCTTCAAAGCTTCTGGGCATAGAGATTAAAACAACTACCTGTAACCAATTGCTCAGGTCCTTAGTGTGTGTGTAGGTGGGAGTGGGGGCTGGATCACACAAAAAATAAACAAATAAGCCTAAGCCTGCATTTGAAACATCACACCCAAACTACCCAAAGCAAAATTAAGCAAAGGATAAGATATGTGTAGCACTTCCTCTGGAAAAAAAATTATACCAAAATGTTGATTTGTTTTGTTTTTAAATTTTCTAACTTAAAATAGATACTTGTTGGCATACATTTTTAGTATTTTTAGATTTGTCGTTTCAGTTTCCTTTTGCAAATCCTCCAATTCCGCTTTGTTCTCATCTTTCAAAGGAATAAGATAAGCTATATATCTTATTAATGAGTTAGACAACCTGAATACAAACTTTATCCTGAGCCTCCCACAATTTAATTTAAGATGAAGGTGTTCAAAGGGCAGGCCCTACAACCACATTATTCACAAATTCTTGTGAACATTTATTCTCTTCCATTGTAGCAAAGGGATTAGTGAGTAACAGTGCATTTCTGGAAGAAGATAAACAAGATATTGCCAAAGTTGCTTTTTTATGACAAAGCTGCTTTATGACAAAGCATAGCCATTATGCACTATAGCCACAAGCCTGGGGTGACCTGATTTCTCCACTCCTCAAGGTGTAAATGTAGACATTGGCCTTGTTGAGCAAGGAGGGATTGTAGCAAAGAGACCGATCTAATCAAGTCCAGTTTGGGAAGTTTCTAGGGTAGGAGTTGGAAACCCTTTGGAGTTAGAGGTCTCAGCCCTTTCCTTTCTGACCCCTGTTGGGGACCGTGAGGTGGAGAGGAGGGAAAGGATTGTTGAATATTTCCCAGGTGCCATTTCAGGAAAGCAGCTGAACTGAAGATCTCCTAATCAGTGAGGCTTTTCATGACTTTTCATGACTGTCACAAAAGACTTGAGGCAGACTACTTATGAAGAAAAAGATTTCTTTAGTTTGGAGGTTCGAAGGCATGGCACTTCCATCGGTCAGTTCAGGTGGGGGCACTGCTCTCAGCATATCACATCATGGCAGATGGTAATGGCAGGAGCAGGTGTGGGTGGGAAGGATTACATCTCACACAGGAAGCTAGGGCAAGTGAGAGGGCCCAGGCTCAAGCTTTTACAACAATCCTCGCCCAAGAACTAACCATGACCCCGTGAGAACTACCCCAGTCTCTTCTAAGGATGTGTCCTCAATTGGCCTAAGGACCTCCCACCAGACTCCAGCTCTTAAAAGTTTACACCACCTGAACACTACCACCCTGGACAAGCCTTCAACATATGAACCTTCAGGGAAGCACCTAACATCCAAACCATAGCACAGGGAGACAATCTGAGAGAAACTATTAGCCTGGTTACCAATAAAGCCTGGTTCCTTTTCAATCTTTCCCCATGCCTTTGGCTGCAGACTCATTTTGAGGCAGGCATCCCCAGGTCCAAGAAATGCCTCAAACAGGATGGTTTTGCAGGTTTCACCATCACCGAACTTGCATGGTGGCTGAAGGCCACGGACTCTGGTTATGGCTATCTGCTCTTCTGATACAGGTATCATTATTCCATTAGAAATAGGGCAAGTGGGGAAGAGAGTGCAAAGAGATGTCTGCCAGCCCATGGCTAGCAGAGGGAGCCTCACTCTTTCATTCAAAGAGCAAGCAAACAGGAAAGGACCAAGTGGTACTATGGTCCCTGATGAATAAATCCTCTGGAAATGAAGCTTCTTCATCATGGAGCAGGCTATTTTCTTTTTCTTTAAGTCTTCATAAATCACACGCAGCAGCATTGGCATGAGTCATACAGCTCGACAGCAAAGCTCCTGCTAAGCCACACAGCTGCACAGGACAAAAATACCTCCATGAATAGAGTGTTTGTCCTGCATGGTTCATGGTATAAATAGGAAATCAGAAAAATTTAGGGGTTCCCCAGCCTCTGGTTTCTGAGTCTTACAATCTATGGCTGCTGCCACTGCCCAGTGTCACCCTGCATCCCAGCCTCCTCTCCTTTGTTAAGAAAGGAAATGTTCTGATCAAGGTCATCGATGAGCTACACTGAATGAATTCAAGTCAGTGTGAAACCTCAACCAGGTAAATGTTCTTGGTCTTTTAATTCTAATGAAGTAATGAGAGACATCCCTGTTATTGAAGGACTTTCAAAAGGACAGTGTAATAGGCAGCATAATGAAATCACATGCGTGTGACCCTGACCCTTTTCTCCTCTTTGTTGCAGTTAGGAACCTCCTGGAGGGGGAGGGAGAGAGTCAGAGGTGCCATCTTTCCTCTCCAGACAGGCTGTCCTCTTGCAGACATGTGTCTGGCCAGGCCCAGCTCTCTCCTTGGGCTTGTTTGCTGGTTGGTGACCAAATCAGGTTGTGACCATTCTGTACTAGTCCGGGCTACCCCACAGGCTTTTTTTTCACACCATTTCTATGCATCCCAGAAGGATCACAGGTTAGCCCTGTGATTTCTACTTCCTCTTAATGCCCCTCTCTATTTTAGAACTTCCAGATACTGCCAGATTTTCTGGCAGCCTGCTTGACGTTATATTGATTAATATTTAATAACTATACTGTACCCACTTCTTCTCTGTCCTACTTGGATGGTCCTTATGACTTCTGCATTATTGCTGCATTGGATAATGAAGCTTCTGACACTCAAGTTGCTGTTGCCTACATTTGCCTCATTAATGGAGGTATAACTGTATATGTGGGTCACTTAATATCTCATTTACCTTCAGATTAGGGGCTCATTTAATATGTATTTAGGGCTTTGGTATTAAGAGATGTATTTCTTTAATTAAATACATATTTTGAGTCCTGACATCTGACATGTTTTGCTTAGATATAAAGTGTTTATACAATTTGCCTAAGTTCAGTGAAGTATAAAATACACTAATGAGTGACACTAAATCACTCAACAAATATAAACCTCAATTTGTTGTACTGGACTAGGAGCAGCCTCAGACTTGCCTAGCATTCTAACCACAACGGCTCTTGGCTCTCTCCATCTCCAGTCTAGAGCTCTGCATTCACTTATACTCTAGCATAGTTTTCCAGCCACATTTCTGCTTTAGGCTATAGGTGTGGAAAACCAAGAAGTCAAGTAACAGATAAGATGCTTTCGGTGGCCATCTTTTCCCTTTGAGCTACCTGTTTATTTCCTTGATTTTTCCAGATGTGGAAAGAATGAACTTCTCTGTCAGAGGGAACTGGATTTGAATCTATTAGCTTGTAACCTTGAGCAAGTTGCTTCATCTTTCCA